GTACTGGTATCACAGATCTAGACAGCACTGCCCAGTCCACCCCAGGCTGTACGTGACCTCAAACCTGTACAGTGTGCAACTGTGGCAGAGAATACAGACAACTGTACACAACAGCAGGCACACATTACCTAGACACAGAGATGGTACAGGGAAAACACGGCACAAAAGATAAAAGCGGTATGCTTGCATGGGAGACTTAGTGTGAGTGGAGCTCCAGAGCTGTGAGCTGCTCTGATCAGTCAGTGAGTGGGCTCTGAGAGTGTGGGTGCTCAGGTCACCGCTGTGCTACTTAAACAGTGCAATCCGCCCTTATAAAAAATAAGTTAATCTTAGCTTACTGTGATTTTTTACTTTATAAGCTCTAATGTTTAAAACCTATATGACTTTCATAACTTAGCTAAGAATACAAACACATCATTCAACTGTACAAAAATAATTTCTTATATATTTATTCAGTAAGTTTTTTTCTTTTTCCTTTTTTTTTTTTTTTTTTTTTTTTTTTGTCTTTTAAACACTTGTGTTAAAAATGCAGACATAAACGTATCAGCCTTGGCTCCCATAGGGTCAGGATAATCAGTGTCTTCAGTCTTCCTTCTTCTCTTCCTTTTCTTTTGTCCCTTTTCAGCTCTGTGTTCCAGCTTCAGTTCCAACAACTAACTGGTTCCTCAAGATCTCCAACTGGGAGCACCTCAGTGCCATCCTCATCCACTTCCCGGGAAGTCACTGGTCATTTCAGCCAGTTTTGTTGGTTTCTGCAACCTCCTCATCTTTGCTGGATCCTCTAAAGTCAGGACAAAGCTCTTGAGTGACCATTCCAGATACCAATATATTTCTTGGTGAAAATACCCCAACCCAAGCATTCTCCCTGCAGTTTTAGATATTTGGAACCTCCCAGAACTGTACCGGTATCATCTCAGTGTTCTCCTCTGTAGCTGCAATCGTTTGGCCAAATGCCCCTCACTCACTAGACCTTAAACACAGCTATGACTCCTTTACCCATTGGCTGGAGAGGTGGTGTTTAGAGGGAGCAATACCCCCTTGTTACCTGGGTGAAATTATCAATGAAAGGAGGATGTGCAGGTAGACCATCAACATTAACATCTTAAAGGCAGGCTATTTCCCAAACAGTAGTTCTCAGATACTAAGGAGAGCATCTTGGAAGAGTAACTGGATTACCCATAGCTTCTTGCTGCGCCTGCAGTACACAGGTAGGATATGTTTATTCACGTGCTTGACAGCCCTGGACTTCGTGCCAGATCACCACAGGTTCCAGTTTGCAACAGTCTTGTAAACAAGACTGTTGTCCTATCCTTATCAGCCTTGATATCTGGCACTGATTTGGCCTCCACATGAATCAAAGTCCTTCCAAGCATCATTCCCGAACAGGGGGGTTTCTTCCATATGAAGTACAGGCAGCTTATCTAGCTGTTCCAGAAATTCTTCAGCAAGTTTTACATCAGCATTCGCTGCTCTATTGACTTTCATGTTATGTATGCAATGAATAATGATTCTTTAATCAATTAAACTTGTCCAAGAGAGCAGGAAACCAGCTGTAGTGAAGTTGAACCTTTTCTTTCGGTACTAAAATATAATGACACTCTTTGTTTTGGCTGTGGTCATCATGCTGCCAAGAGGGACACTTCTGGGTCTGTCTTCAGTCAAGGTTATGCAGTTTCTTCTTATCTGATACAGGCTCTTCTGGAATCTTTATCAGTTTGCTGTCTTCACTAAGGTGGACCCTCTAACAGTTTCCATCACTTTGTCCCTCTTCTTTAACTTGTAGGTACGGTGGAATGGGACATGCCTGACTGGCATCCTCTACCCACCATCCACCCTTCAGAGTCCTTAATCACTTTTAGTTTTTTTTTCACATCAATCAGTGCGGCCTCTTACTGGTTGACTTATCGGTGGCTTTTGTTTACTTTGAAGCCAAGAACAAAACAAATGACTGAATGTGGCACAAGAGTAGGATACAATCCAAGGCTGTAAGTAAGAGAGGTAAGAGGCTGCTGCCATCGTAACACAGTAAGTGGTGTGCTGCTTTACAGCAAAGTTCTCTTAAATAAGTTGGAGAACATTCTTAAAACAGCAAAACATATAGTAAATACATAAACCCTTTGCACAGTCATTTCTATCACTAAGTACCATGTATAATCATTATAGTTGTATGTGCTATACTTTTGCATAATTGTTAGCTTATTAGGTCTGTTTTTACCAACATTGCCAATAACACAAATAATGAGTTGTACTAAACTGGGTTTTTTGTTTGTTTGTTATTTGTTTTTGTTTTTGCTGGTGCTGGAGACTGAATTCAGGGCTTTAGGCATACTAATTAGTGCTCTATTACTGAGCTACACCCTCACCCCTCAGCTAGAGTTTTTGAATCCCACACCATACAAGGCAATAGAAATTTTTCAGCTGCATTATAGGATGAATATCCTATATAAGGCCCATTGTTGATCAAAACAGTAATATATGACACATTTTAAAGCATATACTAAAACAACACTTGTGAGCTATACACAATATATCTTTATTTTACATATATATTTTGCATTTTTCACAATACATAATTCTTTCATATGAATATTCTAACAGATTTAAAAATACTATATATGAGAAATGTTTAATTCTAATTCTTCTAGACTTCAAAATAGTCTCTGCTTATATATGTATAAATATGCATACAGATACAGACAATGATACAAGATATAACCCTAGTAGAAGACTACAAATATGTGACACTTAAATCTAAAAGTCACTCCTCACATTTTTATCAAAGACAAATAACCTTGACAGTAAAAATTCACCTTAACATTCCAGCTAATAAACATAGTTTCCCTTTTCCAATTAATCTAGCCTCCATTTAAATATGTAAATGGTCTCTTTCATAGGAATATTCCTTTTTCATCATCCTTGATGAAATGGAAAATTATTGTAATACGATAGCTAGAATATATCTGACCTTAGCCTTCAAAGTTTCAGCCTCTTAAGGACTACCAAATTTCAGCTACATCCTAATGTGTCATGTTAATTTTTGCTTTTCTAATCATTCAGTATAGAATTTCTCTGCTGGAGAGACTATCAACAGAGAATTTTATCTTCCAAGACTACTGAATTCATTTCTAATATTCTTCTTTTTTCCTTTTAATTGAAAAAGCAAGAACATAATTGGGGAAAAAAATCACAAAGACATTCTCATCTCTAGTACTTTACCACAATTATGTTAATTTTACATATCATCTATGTATCCATACTTTTAAAAAGTTACATTTACTGTTCATGAATATAATATTTTCAGATATCTCACTAAAATTTGTAATTTCAATAGGTCTGTAATGTATAAATTACTTCAAAAATTGGATATTTAATTTTTTTGGCTCTAATGGACACTTTTGATTCTATTCAAATAAAATGTTAGGATAAACCTTCTAAAAAGGGAAATGGTAGATGAAACAAACTATAAAGTTTATTATGCCTCTTGTTATACAGTGTCAAAATGTTTTCCAAAAAGATTACATTAATTCAGAACTGTTTGAAACCAACAATTTTCACCTATTGATAAAAACAACTGCTATCTTCAAGGGCACTGGACATAACTTAGAAAAACTGCTTTTTCATTTTAATGTTTACCAATGAAAACTAGTACTGCAAAATTGCCTTAAGCACACTTCTATGATTACAAATGAGAGCAAACAAGCTTCTGCATTTTGTTTACTATCACTCTATGACAATCTCTTTTCTCATGCTTTAACTTAGAAAGTTAAATTAGTGTATGTTCTGCCAAAGTGAGCCCATTTAGGGATTTAAATTAAAAGTCTGAATGATATTCTCATATATTATGGTATCATTTCATCACAACCATAAAAAGATTCTTCCCTAGTAAATGGATCTCCCTTTTATACTTAGTAATTTCCATTACGTGAAAAGTGTTTAACTGAAGGACTGTGTACCTCTCCTCACGCTTTTTAAATCTGAAAAAGCTATTGCTCCTCTCTTACTATCAAACAAAATCGACTCATACGATAGTTCCATACATTTACAGCAATTAACTCTCTTTACAGAGGGATTTTTTTTGTGTGTGTCATGAAATGAGAATTTTTTTCTAAACTGCTTTTTAATTATCTCTATATTATTATTATAAATAACTATTCTTCATAACACAGCTTGAAAGCCATACTTTTCTTACTGATAGAAACAAATATTTCTGAATGTCCTAAGCAATCTGATTCACATTTTTCCTGGCCCAAAGTGCTCCTTTTAGTTTTGAATACTGCTCCGATATATCTGGTAAAGCAAAGTATTTCTTATCCTAGCTGATTTTTTTTCCCCATAATGACCTTTCCATTGTGCATCTTGACTAGTTGCAAAAATAATCCTCAGATTTTTTAAGTGTTTCTTTACTTAATATTCTAGCATCTCTGAAACATTTAATACAGAAAATAGTATTTTAAAATATCAAAACAAATTTTCCCTTCCCCCCTACCAATCCATTTCCTTCCATCTACTTATTCAATCACCGTATTTTTGATGCAGAATTTAACTTAGAAAGAAAATAAATATTTCAGAACTGTACATGGTAGCACATAACTATAATTCTAGTGTTGTGGAGGCTGAGGCAGGATGATCATGAATTTGAGCCCAGCCTGGACACTTTGGTAAGAGCTTATGTCAAAAACAATGGACCAAAAAACAAAACCAAACTCAAATGGAAGGCGGAAAACTGGCTAAAGAAAGCATCTGGACAGATGAACAATGCAAAATGAGTAACAATGCTGCCGTATCCTTTGTGTGTGCGGGGAACTCCTCCTAAACAGGTGCATTTTAAGCTCTACCCAACTCTACCCAGAACGGAGACCAGACCCTGGAAATCTCAGGACACGCAGCAGAACTGAAACAAAACTGGTACTACTTGCCAGTCTTCTCCACAACTGGGTATAAAAATCCAATAGAGAGAGGCCAGAAGCTGACTATCATAAGCTTAAAATTTTTATTTTTACCTTCAAAGCCAGAATTCAGAAGGTGCTCCCCAAGGTCACAACCGAACACCCTCTCCTTCAAGATCCCCCGCTGCTTTAGCTTCTGTTTTGTTGGACGAGACTTCATGAATGTTCGTAGGAAAGTAATGAGCTTGCCGTGCTTTTTAGACACTAAAAAATAATAATAAAGAGAAAATACCTTAGTTGTGGTAAGATTATATTTTACTTTTCATGAGAAAAAAATCCAGACATCTCAGGTTAATTGCAAGATAATCTATAACAAATATACTTTATAAATTATAGGGAAATATCAACAGAAATTTATTTAATGTTGCATTATAAAAACTTCATAATTTTGCAATTTCTTTCAAGTAGGCCTGTGATTTTACTTGATGATATTATGAGCAAACTTAAGTGCTGAATCCATGCCCTTCAAGTCAAGCTTGCTAAACCAGCTATCTTGCCAATGTATACTCAAGGATGCTACAGGATACAAAAAGGGTCTGAGTTTTAGTCTTAATGTATCGCTTGGGAGATACTCCTAAGAGGTTAAGACTTACATCTTAGAGCAAGGTTAAAGGTAGCTTGTACTTTTAATCAACTTCTAACATACTTTTCTTGATGGTGACAAATTTTCACAGTAATTGTAATTTTATGAGTACACTGGGGGTAAAAACCCTCCTTCACATTTTACAAAAAGGATAATCTCATGATGACATAACATACATGTCAACCTAATGGCAATAAAAATATAAAACCACATAAACATCAAGTCTTCTATTAAAATTCATCTACAGGGCTGGGGATTTAACTCAGTGGCATCAGCGCCTGCCTTGCAAGCAGGCAGTCGTGAGTTCGATCCCTGGTACCGATAAAAGGAAAAAGACAAAAAAAAAGAAAATTCATCTAGATTATATTAAATCTATCACCTTAATTCCTTTGTGATCAAGCCAAATACAAGTAAGTTAATAACTGGGAAAATAATTCCAATAATTGATACATTAGAAAGATAATAGTGAAAGAATTAAACGCAAACAAATGCCAGGAAATACAATTTTTGCTGGCAGTCGTAAACACCTTTGAAAAGCAGCTAGAGACAATTATTCTAAAAGTCAACACAACAAATTCTATATGCTCTGCTATTACCTACCAGACAGAAGACCATTCCACATGGCTTCAGTTCTACAGTTAGTAGATGATTACTCTGGAGCCCTCCTGAAGCCTACTGTAGATTCTAAAAAAAAAAAATCCATGATGGCTCCTGAGGGAACTCTGTGCACCAAGAACCACACTCATGGCCAGAAGGGCTGCTGAATGTGGTGCTCCAGACGAGGTAATTGTTATTCCTTCTTTCCACCCTTGCAGACAAAGTGTCTTTTCCACAGCTGCACGCAGGTGACCAGCCATTCTTGCTGGATCATGGCAGAGGTTTCCTAAGATGTACATGAAACTTTCCAAGCTAAAACTTAGAAGAGTCCCAAGCAAAATGCAACAGAGTAGTCACTCTACCTTCCACACAGATTAAGTGAAAAATTTACTCTTTTCTCATACCAGCTGTTTAAAATTAATAGCTAGAAACCTTTCTATAATTTTGATGCCATCTTAGACATGCTCTGAAACTCTGGATAAACTATGATCTCCCTTGCATCTGAAATTCCTTGCTGGAAAGTTAAATGATTTATCCTCCTATCTATAAGTGAGACATCTGTAGCACACACAGTTAACTTCAGAGTAATTCTAAAACAAATGATGTTAATGCATAATATCAAAGGACAAGCCTGATCACTAATACTAACCTCCCTACCTCTCACATAAACATTTTTTGTCATTATTTTATTTATAAAAAAAGCAAAACAGAAGAGTAGAAATGACACAGAATTTCAAAACAAAAAACAACATTAAGCATCACTAGTTGATAAATTACATATTGTTATTTTAGTTGTTCAAGTTAAATCAAAGCATAAAAAGCATAAAAAATGAACAGGCAAACGACGACAGCACAAACTATTCTGTTTGATGATTATCAAAAACGTAGTAGTATGGTTATCTTACATACAGTTATAAGTGTACATGTTCTTGTATACATATACAGTTACAAGTTGTTCTTTCCTGGTAACAAATGTTAGCGGGGCTGCAGGGAAAAAGGAACACTTCTCCACTGTTGGTGGGAGTGTAGACTGGTGCAGCCACTATGGAAATCAGTATGGAGATTCTTCAAAAAACTAGAATTGGAAGTTCCATTCAAGCCAGCTATTCACCTCCTGGGTATTTTCCCAGAAAAATTGAAAAGGTCATGTCACAATGACACATGTGCCACCATGTTTATAGCAGCACAGTTTATAATAGCTAAATCTTGGAAACAATCAAAATGCCCAGCAACTACAAAATGGATGAAAAGATGTAGTATTTTTATACCATGGAGTATTACTCGGCTATAAAAAAGGAAGATCTTGAGGCTTTTATGGGTAAATGGAGGCCAACTGAGACTATCCTCATAAGTGAAATAAATCAGACTCACATTTGTAAACATCATATTCTCTCTTTAGTGTAAAAAATAAATAATAATAAAAGAAACCGAAAGAGGGTTGGGGATTTAGCTCAGCAGTGTAAGGGCCTCCCTGGCAAGTACAAGGTCATGAGTTTGATCCTTGGTACAAAAATAAACAAACAAACAAACAAACCCAAAACCCTGAAAGAGTAATAAGACCTCACATATATTATAACATTGAGCTCCTATGAGCTTTATTCTATAGTATTTGCTAGCAGCATGTCTATTAATCTTTGTTAAAGAACAGCCACTAAACCATTTCTGTTCGTCACTTTCAAATATTTTCCACATGAACTTCAAAAGTTATATTTAATAAGGCTTCCTTCCAAAATAACAAAGTTTGATTTGCAACAATCTGGGAGTTCATTTTTACCATATTCAATACTTCTACTTAGAAACAGGCTATGCTACTTTTCTAAATGTTTTATCCTTTTCAGTAAGGCTTTCTAATTTTCTTTGTGAAAGGATACATTTCACATATTTGTTAAAGATATTGCTAGATTTTTTTTAGAGTGATACCTTACTTTAATTATGGTCACAACCAGTAGTTACTGATCTGCTAGAAAACAATTTTTTCATTTATCGCTCAAATCTGTAATTCACTAAAAGAGCAACATATTTAGGATGATTTGGGTAGATCTTTTGGATTTCAGGGATGTGCTACCACTAGCCTTTTTCAGATAGTAGTAATTTCTGATCTTTCAGATTTTATTATTTAACAAGAACTTCCAACATTCATGCTAACAATGGGTATTCATATTCTAATGCTGAATCTAACGGAAATTATCTATTGAATCTAACAACTGCTTGTGATACACATTAGAAAGTACTCTTCTTGTCACATTATTTCCAACAAGGTTTCAAAAGAAAAGGAATTGAAGTTTATTAATCATTCAGCAACAAGTACTGAAGTGCCAGCTGCATCTCAGGATCTGTTCTCCATCCTGATACGATGCTGTCACAGAGCTTATTTAGGGGAGATAATGAACAATTAAATAGTAATACAGATTCAATTAGCATTTACTTTACACGCTTACTCTGTGCAAGAAATTGCACAAGTGTTTGTACTTATCAACCATTTCTCATAGCACTCTGTATGAAAAGCACTGTTATCATCTTCCTTTTGAGATGAAGAAACACGGGCATGAAGTGCCAAGTCAGCATGCCCACGTCACACAACCAGGATGCAGAATCAGGCCATCTGGCTCAAAGCCCAAGCCCAGCTCTCAGTCACTACCAGATGATACTGCCTAATAAAAACAACAAGGTAATCATCAGATTGTTTTCAGTAGTTAACAAGGAAATAATTAGGGTGAACTGGTTGTGACTTGAAAGAGAAGAAACTCCATTGGAAAGGACCCTCAGGGATAGGGACCCTGGGAAGGTGGTATCTGAGGGTGGAAATGATCTGGGAAGACAGCTGTACAGAGTGAGGTAAGAGATAGATAAGGTGGGGATTATAGGCTGCATCAGAGTTAGGGTTTTATGCAATGAGACCACACTATACTGCTTAAACACTGTAAAATAGTTACTTTAAAAATAACCCAAAATGATGTACCTAAAAAAGAAGATGAAGGAGGAATTGGTTGAATACGCTATTATATTCCCATAAGAAGACTCGTTTGTTTTAAAAAATCTCTATCTACTGATATAAAGGAATCTTTGGACACATTATATTCAAAAAGTAAGATGGATAACAGTATATTTAGCATAAAAAGGATGAGGAATACATAAATCACATATACACCAACTTGTATGCAATGTATGCACATACAGCTAATTTTTGCAAAAGTAAACAGTAAAAGGAGAAACCACAAACTAACCAAATGGGTAAAATATATGAGTTGGGACAGAGTGAAAGGTACAGATAGGAAGTAAGACTTAACACTGAGTACCTTTTCATATAGCTTGGCTTTTGACATACCAATTTTTTTTTTTTTTTCTTTTGAGACAGAGTCTCACTGTGTAGCCAGGCTGACCTCAAATTCAAACTCTCAGCAATCCTCCTGCCTCAGCCTCCCAAGAGCTGGGATTATAGGCATGTGCCACCATGCCTGCCTTAAAATTTTTTCTGTATGTTCAAAAATAAATCTGAAACACTAAAAAAGCAAGTCCTAATACTGAAAATATGTATCTTATAATATCAAATTAGTAACAGTCCAAAGAGAAGAAATAGCTTTCAAATGACTCACAAACAGTAAACTGACTACGTGCTTAGTGGATGCAGTCTAAGGACAAAAGAAGGACACAGTAATACCTCACGTCTGTCATCCCACGGCTTTACAATTGATAACAATATTGGGAGTGCTAATATGAAGCAATATTACATGTACTGTAGGACAAAACAAAAACCTTATTAAAAACAAAGCTTTTAATATGAGAGAAAAAGATGCAGTAATAAAATGAAGTAAGCCGATGCAAGTTCCTGCACCATCACTTTCGGCTGGAAACACGACGTGAACTCACCAGTAAAGGACCACTTTCCTACACTCTACCCACTGACAAGGCCTGCGCCACAATATCATGTAGTTATGATAAAGATTTCTGGGCTCAGCCCTGGATTTCTGAACACTTCCTACCCCAGTAACTCCTTGGAGAAAAAAACAGCTGCAACAGAGCAGAA